ACAACATAGAATACGCCAGAATGATCCTGCACACAGGAAGTGGTGCACAAGCAGACACGCTTATGAGGTATGGGTTGATGCAAGTTCTCTCGCCACAGGGGTTTTGTTGGAGGTTGACAGAAGCATTATAGAAGACGCATGTTGGCTGCGGCCTGCGAAGGACGCCCAACATATCAATTTATCAGAATTGGATGCTATTCTGAAGGGCATCAATTTAGCACTACAATGGGGTGCAATGAAGCTACACCTCTTCACAAACTCTGCGTGTGTGCACCGGTGGGTATCAAACATGCTCACTGGCAAAGCTAGAATACGAACTAAGGCGGCAAGTGAGATGCTGACTTGGAGGCATTTGAGTACCCTTGAAAAGCTGATTCAAGAGTATAACTTATGGATCACAATAAGTTTAGTAACGTTGAGTGAGAATCAAGCAAATAATCTCACCAGAGTACTGCACCGATGTTATGATGTGATCAAGAAGGAAATCGAACCAACACACCCAATATGCGCTTCCATGGTGAACGAAACCTCTCCTGATCAGATACGTGCCATACATTGCCAGAGTGGACATCCTGCCGTTAGGCGAATGCTGTGTTTTGTGAGATGAGCCTATGCTATGACATCCAAGGCGACCGTCAAGGCAGTGGTCAGAAAATGTAAAGAATGCTAGTCAATTGACCCAGCCTCAAGTCATTGGCCTAGTGACAACCTAAGTGTGACTGAAATCTGGACCCGCTTAGGAATGGATATGATGCATTACGGTGGTCAACACTACCTTACATTAATTGATTGTGGACCCAGTCAATTTGCGATATGGAGACACCTGCTTCAACATGACTCAAGAAGCATCATTCGACAGTTGGAAAATATTTTTTTGAACGAGGCCCACCATCAGAAATCCTGACCGACAATGACACTGCATTTCGCAGTAAGTCCTTTAAAGATTTCTTGCATGACTGGGGAGTCCAACTTCATTTTCACTGCGCCTATGTTCCTGCAGGAAATGATATAGTAGAAAGATCTCATCGGAGCATAAAGAGAATTGCAGCAAGAAAGCAGTGTTCAATAATGGAGGCAGTATACTGGCATAATATCACACTGAAAGACGATATATTGTTGATTAATGCGCCTGCCAATATGATTCACTGTTGCCAACTGAAAGTGAAGGGAATTACTACAACATTACCACCTGATCATTGTAAGTATCACGATATATATTTTGTTGGGAATAGAGTATAGGTGAAAGCTTGCCATAGCCGGTGTACCTCCAGGTATCAAGTGGGTCGTGTGACGGGCACAAACAATAATAGTCGACGGCATGCCATGACATGTAAAAGATTTTTGCCTTTGTGTTGATTCTGATACATCGCTGAGTGAATCCGATGATGGTTCATCGTTGGACAGTGATCGGATAATTGAGATCTGCGAATCCGATGCTTTCACAGATGCAGAGATTCAGGAGACTCGAGATATGTCTGATGACTCCTCAGGAGACAACTCTCTGACACGAGTAAGGGAGATAGTTCCATTACGATGTAGCACCAGGATAAAAACAGCTGCTCCAAGCTGTTCGATTTGTGATAATGAGACCAGGGGGGAGTATAGCGAAGAAAACGGCGACTTTTTCATAATCAGCATAAAAAATACAATATTTGAGATAAAGAAAAAAAAAAAAAAATCTGAAAAAGAAACATCCCCCCACCACCAAATAACTGGTGGTAAAGGGGTTAAGACAATTTTTCAGAAAAAAAGGTTTTTCAATATGCACATATAAAATGAACGATCTTCAGAAAATCAACATAGCAATCATGAAAAAGCATGACTGTATACAAGATCTGATAAAAAGAACTCCAAAGTGGCAATTGCTATTGGAAATGAACTGGAATAAGTTACCAGATTGTTTATGAAATAAAAATAGACTTAACTTGAGTATCTGTCTATACTTCTGAGATGAGGTATTATGTACACTATTTACATTATTCAGACTATTGTCCTCATCTTTGTCGCTATATTTATTACAACATTTCGGCTGTTGTACGCTCAAAAATCTCCTGAGCCGACCAAGCATAGAAATGAATACAATATGGGAACCAGAATAAGGAATGTCAGAGAAAAGTGATAATAACAGCAAAAATTGCAATATGAGCACTGGTAAAAAATGAAGGCTGAAGACATTAGGTTCATAATATCCAAAAATTCACACACAGATGTCCTCAAGGACATATGGCATAGTGGATAAAGGCATTGGTTAGATCCAGTGACAGGACCCAAAGAGTGTGAGTTCAATACCTGGTTAAGGCAGTGAAGAATATGGCGCATGGAACTAGAACTAGAATTGAAGAAGGCCGGAGTGTACAATGGCCGAAAGTGACAAAGGTGAGGACAATAGTCTGAATAATGTAAATAGTAGACTTCACTTGGTTTTCAAATGTTTGAAGTTTTATTTAAACATAATAAGGAACCAAAAGTATTTTTTTTTTTGTAAAGAAAAAGAAAAGTTGCCTTACTGGATTTTTGTCAATCTTTTTTCTGGTAAACATTTTGTTCCAGGGTCTCAAGTGTTCCTGCGACTTGAAGCCATTTGGAATGCCAGCCTGGGAAGCCTTCACCAAAGAATCCCTGCAGCTGAAAAACAATATCAAAAATAAATTAATAGATACTTAATCAAACAAACATTTTAATAGGATTGAAAAATCAACCTGAACAATATGATCGAATTCTCCAAAATTATTTCAATGTATATTCTCAGCCTTCGGGTTTTCATTATTAATTTTCATCTTTTCTCTGGTGTAAAATTCTTTTGATTAGAGATCTTCTCACTTTCTTTCAGAGATAATTTCAGATTTTTTTATAGATTCTTGCAGGAAAAAATGGTGGTAGGTGGGGGTAGGTGAATTCTACACTATAGGCCAAATGTTTGAAACCACCCTCTTTCAGAGAATCACCTAAAAATTGAAGATTGTGTGCTTTTTTTTTAAATGTGTGTTTTTTGTTGTTTTTTTCTCTCTCAAAACTGCCCAGTGAAAAACATCATGATGCCACTTCTGAAAGAAATGAGTATACTTCAGAACCCAAAGAAAATAAAATGACGTTAATAATAACAGAATCAACCCATTACTGCATAAAGTTTCCTTCAAATTTTAGCTCTTTTGCCCAATCTACCTAAAAAATTGAATACCCTGCACTAATTGATTAGTTTCCTAGCTTAGTAGGGGTTAGTTAAACCAAAGAACTTACTAGTTATTAAATCCAATGGGTGACACTCAAAGTTTTGGCCTATAGTATACATACAAAGAATTCATGAAAGTCAGAATAACATCAATAAGTCATAATTGCAACAAAGCTAAGAAGGCCGAAAATATTTGTCAAAATGGCAATAAAAACAGAAAAAAAGTTTTTTTTATGTACCCAGGCCCTTCAGGATGTGGGCAGTCATGGTGCTCCACATTTTCCTATCATTTGTAGCTCTTAGCAATGCTCCCACCCACTCCCTGTTTTGCCATCCATTCCCAAGAGCTTGTCAGTTAAATTTCTCACTGTTTCCCTCTGCTCCTTTTGTCTTCAATATGTCTTGTGAGTGCTAAATTCTTCAAGACATCTTCCCATGTTACGTACCCCAGAAATTTCAACTGTCTTTCGGATTTTAAGTATAAATGTTCTTTTTTGTTGGCATTTTCCTTAAAACTTCGATGTTGCTCACATGCCTACTCCATGATATTCTCAACATCCATTTTTTTTTTCTTTAATTGATATCCCCCCATTTAAGGCAATAAAGCCACTAAGACAAGGGAATTACAGGGTGTGGAAGAATTAGGAACAGAAACATTAATAATGGGCGGGGAGAGGAAAGAGTAATCAGGTGGACAGTACATAGCAATTGACATTGCATTTCAATTTTTGCAGATTAAAGTTGGTTGGAAAGCCTGGAGCAGGATGGGAGTTCCACAAGTGAGAAGTGCAAGAAAAGAAACTTAGCTAGCCACAAACACTGACCCAAACATACCACAATATTCCTAACACCAAAACAACACATTCTTACTTACTTTTCTTACTACATCCACCATAATACCACAATGTCTCTATGAAAGTCCTAACTAGTCGCCATATGTACAATTAATTATCTGTGGGGGGAGGGGAATAAAACAACAATTAAAAAAACTAACCCCAATGCATATTTACCATAGAGGAAAATTCATCAGAACAGTTACCATGAAGGTATTTATAGAAAAGACACAGGGAAGCTACATTACAGCATTGGTAAAGTAACTAAAGTGGAGATGCCAGGTCAGGACCAATAACAATGCAGATTCTTTGTATTTTATCTAGCATCTTTAAATATTTAGCAGGAGCACCAGCGTATATGTGGCAACAATATTCAATGCACAGATGAATGGTAGACCTATAAATGTGGAAAAAAGATTTTGGTGGGAAAAATTATCTAGCATGACACGTTGAACCAACTTTCTTAGCAGTTGGCCTAGCAATTGATTCAATATAAACTTTCACATTCATAAATGCATTTTATGAAGTGGAAAGATTCTATTTTCCACTTCATGCATGGTTGCTTTCTTAAAGTTATCATCCTGTCATGGGTTGTGTAACCCCATAGGGTTGTAGAGGCACTACATGTACTGCAACTATAGCAGCAGTGGTGTGCCTAAGGCAAGAAAGATGGACAAAACCCATTCCTCTGATTTTAAATTCAAAGTTTTCCTTCTCATAGATGGGTTACCACCTCAAAGCGAGAGAGCCCAGTCAACCATTTAACCCATAGCTGGAAGGGGAGAAGAGATAGAATCATACATTACCCAAGGGTATTTGGGTCAAATGGATGAATCCATCCCCTCCCCCCAGTTATGAGTTAAATAGTAGAACAGTTTGGTTGGAAACCAGTCTAGGAGAAAAACAACTCTGAACAATACAAAACGATTGTGGAGTTTATATTGGCGATTGATTAAATGACTGCAATCAATCAATTTGTAGCTTACAGCTTTAACATGTTGAAACACCAGTTCCCATATGATCACTGAAGTTAAGCAATGTTGAGCTTGATCAGTACCTAGATGGGTGACCACTTGGAAATATCAGAGGCTGTTAGCTTGGATGTGCAGGTCATGTAATGGATAATGGCTTGGACATATTATTTAGAGGGCAGAGTTCCAATTCTAATTGGTTTTGTTATATTTACTTACCCTCAAATACCTTTGGAAAAGGTACAAATTCACCTCATCTACCTACAGCTATGGGTTAATTATTAAAACTTATATAACTAAACTATTATTACCTTTAAAAAAAATCTTACAATCTAAAAATATTTTCTGGTTTTGTTGTAACCTAGAAAGGGTTACCGAATGAGGAATAACCAAAATGGAGGTTGGAAATGAAATGGTAATCTTTATAACATCAACAAAATACAATACACGCCAGCGGCATGAGGTATATAAACCACTGCTAGCAGTGAACTACTTAGCATATTACCCCCACTTACAATAGTGTCCAATGTATTTATGAGGATTGGGACATCCACATTAGTGTTCATAGGGACGGTATATAACAGGCTTTAAATAACCTGCAAAGGGTTGGTAAATCATAAAAAAACAAATCAATTTGTGCAAAAGTGAATGCAACAAACGCAATTCGTTGATTTCTCTTTCTGATTTTCTAACTATTACACTACACTGAAGGAAATGACTTAAAAAAAAAAAAAAAAATGCCCTGGGGTGAGTACCAACAATTTTTTGTTTTGTTTTAAAATGGTCTGCAGAAAACCAATTTTTCAGGAAGTTAACACTTATAAAGAATTAGTCAAGTTATATATAATTTTTTTTTCTATACTGCATACCCAATAACAATTATTAAAGTTGAATGAGTTAAGATTTTAGATCTTAATTTCCTGCAATGAATTTGCTGTTCCAAATTAGAGACAACATGAGTAAATGCCCCTATTTTTAACCAAAAATGTTCAATCTTGTGTTACTGACTCAGAGTTGACAATATGACAAACATTCTGAGAATAAAGTGTAATATTGTGCTGCTAGAAGATGAACAATGCACAAGAACTCCTATTAAAGATTGCTTTCAGTGCTCCAATTAAACATGACTTCAAGTTAACCAAGCTGTCGGCAATAAAGAAATCTCATGCACTTTCACGTTTTAAGTGTCTGTTTTGTTATTATTTTAAGAGTGAGTTTTACTATCAGAAAGTTTACTCTGAATCACTTTATTCAAACAAGGTGATAAAGCCACTAAGATGCAAGAGGTTACAGAGTGCAAAAGACAATAAAGTGAAGTAAACTGAGAAAATGTTACTGAGGCAAAAGAACAATAAAATTTGATTCATTCATTTTCTACAGTTTAACCCTTTGCATGTTATTTAAAGCCAGAAAATATTTTTAGACTGTAAGAATGATTTTTTCTAGATCATAACGGTTTAGTAATGCAAGTCTTACTAATTAACTCACAGTTGGGGGGAGAAGATACCTTTCCCAAGGATATTTGAATGTAAATGAATATAATGAACCCAACTGGAATTGGAACTCAGCTTGGAATTGTTATTTAGAGAGCTATTATTCATTATACTACCTGCACATCAAAGCTTTAAATACCTTGTATTACCAAGCAAAAGTATTTAAAATAGAGTATGCTGATATACATGAGGAAAGGAATATACAAAAAAAAAATGTGTGTGCACAAATACATACATTACATATGACTAGCTTAAAAGCCACCCTGTCAGGCAGCATTTAAGCTAGCTCCTGCAGAAGGCTTTTGATTGGGCCTTCATCACAATAGGTAGGGAGGAGTATATGCAAATAGGCAACAATAAACTATAGAAGAACTAAAAATTGATCACTAGGTACTGACCAGGCTCAACGTTGCTTAACTTCAGTAATTATATGGATATGAGTGTTTCAATGTGATGTAGCCATAAGCCAAGAAAAATAAAAAGAACAGGGTTCAAGGAGACCCATAATGATTGACACAGCATTTAGATTTTTGTTGTTGACAGGAAAGCAAGAAGCTGAAAGTGTTTTATAGGCACGGTCTATGAGAGACAAAACTCTTAGAAGGTTGTATAGTTTTAAAAAATAAAAGAAGTGTGAATTAATTAAAACAGTTTTGATGTTATGAAGGATACATTTTGCTGCTCTTCAAGGAGACAGACGTTTGCATTTTGTTTTTGTTTCTATAACTTTATTCAACGTGATTTTGCTGAATATGTCCATAATTTAAATTATATTTTTTCTCTGGCACTAGAGTGAGTGGCCATGGTTATATGTAAATAAATGGTAGAACTGCCCAACACACAGAACTGACAAAGTTTGCAATAAGCAATAACAAGACAAAGAAACAAAAGAACAGGGAAAAAAATATATATAAAGCAAGCAAACAATATATGCAAGGCAAATCAAAAGAAGTAAGGCAAAGAAACAGTAATATGGCAGAAAGTTCACAAACTAAGAATTGGGGTTGACACAGAAGAGCAAATTTGGATAAGCGAAATATAGCATTCTGACTTCAAGACAATACAGACCGGGACCAAGTCATATGAAACTGAGAACTGGTCTATTTTATTGGCTAGGAAGAAATTCTAGCATGCATTTGTGTGCTTCTGCCTATAAGTTGGGGAGGGGAAAGTGTGTTGGAATTTAATTTGAGAACTATTTTACAAGTTCACATTCTCGCTATTTTTTTCTATCTTCACTCCAACCTCTTTTTACTTTCAAAACCAGCTCCCAAAGCCTTGATTCTTAACAGAGATACATTTTCTGATTGACAAGAGTGCTGGAAAATATAAAAAGGAATTCTACCACCATTATTCTTTCCATGGTGCCATAAAGTCTGGGGGAAACCTCACAGCTTGTTCACTCTAACCTGTTTTCATTACTTTCAAAACCGGCTCCCAGGGCCCTGATTGTTATCAGAGATAATATATTTTCTGACCAATGAAGGGGCCAGGAAATTTGTTTAACAATTTTGAAGAGAAAAGTCCCTGATTCGTCTGAGCCTACCAAATCTCCATAAATTTGGAGACTCTTTGCGTATTTGGCAGTGAGAATTTCGACCACCGTCTGTGAGGTCGACAATAGGAAGCACCAGTCAACTTCAGAACCACTTTCAACCAAAGAAGAGCTACTTACTAAAGGGGAGGTCGAGAATGAATGTTGGCCCACAATTCAAGACCAGTTCAAAGTTGCATCCCTTCACCACTCCTTCTGTCATGCCCACTGGACTTCTGTTGTCAACCTACAAACTCACTCAACTGCAAGATTCCTATATCTACCAACAATTTTCCTACTCTACAAGAACTGTGAGTGTTTCTAAACACTAACAAAATTCTACTCGTTTAATGTACCTTTTAGGTGCTCAAAGAAATATTTTGAGCAAGCCTTTTTTCTGCTATGAACATTTTCTCTTCCGTTAAAGGACATTTTCTCTTTTCCCTTTCTTTCACTCTTAATTGTCTTTATCCCTTTACCATTTTTTTCTGTATATGTAAATAAACACTTCCTTCTTTTATTGTTACACACCGAGCAGGAGTTTTTTTTCTTTATTCGTACGTGCCTAAAAGAGAGAGTTTGTCCGCTCTAATCTTGCTGTTTTTTACTCATGTTTTGTCGTAATTTTTTAACCTCAACCCAATTTTTTAACCTAAACCATTTGATGCAGGAAAGCCGGGGTAAACTTTCTCCGCAAGTGTTTTGCAGTCATTCCCACTCTGGTTTAGCTAAGGTCTAGGATAGTTAATGTTGACCAGCCTTACCCCACTTCCCATTCGGCCTTGTGCCATAATTGTGTAATTTTTATTTTCACAATAAGCATTGCCACACTGATTGGAACCAACAGAAAATCCAGAGAGCCAACTTCAAGAAAAGGGATTAAAAATCAGAATAAACGGAATTAAACTTAAAACATCAAATTGAAAACCTGAAGTTTTTTTTTTTTTTTTAAATAACACAAGATAAAGAGAGATTATGAAGTAAAATAAAAGAAATGATTTTATTTAAGAGGAAATTACTTTTTTAAATTATTGCTAGCTTTTCAAAAATGACAACGAAGAGAAAAAAAAAAAAGTGTGGTTACTAATTTAGAGACAATGACTATGGACTGTTCAAAGGTCAAACTTATACAAATGGGTAGATAGATTTGGTTACGAGGTAGAGATGCCAATTGTTTTCTTTTGTGAAGTAATCTTCAGCATAAACATTAAGTAGATAAATGATTATATATAATATTTTTTGATTATTTACTTATTTAATGAAAAGAGAGAATACCAGTAGCAGAATGGTATATAAAATAAAAGTAAATATAAATAAAACCAAAGGCAGAAATTTCTATTTATGTATGGAAGAGAAATTGAAACTTGAAGAATGAATGAATTAACAAACAAAAGGAGAAACTAGTTTCAACTCTCGGCATATTGGCACAGTCCTTTTGAAAAATGTGAAAAAGAATTCTAGAGTTTGTAAGTATTTAAAATAAACAAACATCCATTTTGAAAAATTGCACATCTTAAAACACTATTTAATGAGTAGATAATCAAATTTTATTTTTGAGTATCAAAAAGCCCTTTCAAAAGTATTTAAAATAGAGTATGCTGATATACATGAGGAAAGGAATATACAAATTGTGTGTGCACAAATACATACATTACATATGACTAGCTTAAAAGCCACCCTGTCAGGCAGCATTTAAGCTAGCTCCTGCAGAAGGCTTTTGATTGGGCCTTCATCACAATAGGTAGGGAGGATAGGCAACAAACTACAGAAGAACTCAAAATTGATCGCTGCATTAATATTTAAGTTCACTGATAATTCTTCTGTCAACACTTAATTTAAAGACAAGTTGATGTATGTAGGTCTATACTTTCTGTATTTTTTATTTCATGGGTGATTTTTCACTGGATTTCACAGTTAATTTTGATTATTTCCATATTTATTTCCAAGTTATAAAAATTGTTATTGTACAAAAAATTGTTGGAAAAAAAAAAGGGTATGGATTCAGCCCAGAATGTTTTTAATTTACTCTGAAAGTTGGCCTGATTCCAAAATGGTATGATATGTAATGGAGTAAAGTTGAAAAAGTGTGCCACAGTG